TTTTTATGCCCAAATATCATCAAATTGACCATCTCGATGTCAAGATGCATGGACATGAGACAAAAATCGATTTCAAGTTTTGATAATAGTGTAATTTGTAATGCATTGTTAATGCATTTTTGGACTATTAATTTTCAAGATTTTAACGTTTTCATCGATCTGTCAATTAACACTATTTTTAAAGCTTTAAACTTTATAAATAAAAATGGAAATGTATTTATAAGGCTATCACAAAGATTTCCAATATTGAAACCACATTTCTTGACACTATTTGAAGGTAGGCTCTAATTTGATTGTTTAGCTCCATACAATCGTGACCGCGCGATAAAATTTGGACGGTGATGAAGATAGGCAAAATCGCTATTCATTTTCGCCCATACGTGTTGGGAAGACTTTTCCTATACCTATATTATATTATATTATATTATGGAAGCCCCTACGCAACGTCTATAGACAAAAATGAACAGTATTTTCGCCCATTGGCTCGGCACCGTCCAATTTTTTTGGACGGTGTAGATTAAAAGACCGCAACGGACGTAGTAGGTCCCTTGTGGTAAGAGAAAAATCGGAAACGGCCACGGACCACGCGTTGTCGGTTGTGGCTCCATTCAATAACTGCCATAGACATGCTATGTCCGTGGGGGGAGGAAACATTGTTCAAAATCACCTATAGACGTTTTTAAGAGTTTTCCTTATTATATACATTATATTATATTATACATTTATATATTTTTATATCATCTAATATTATACAATGGGTACGGTTTCTATAAGGTTGCAACCTTAAACAATCCAATTAAGGCTCACCTTAAAATTTTATCATAACATGTAATTTTGTTATTAAAAGTTCTTAGTATTATCGTAAAATCTATTTTCATACCTAATTAGAAAATTTTAAAATCCAAAAATGGTTAAAATCAAGTAGATCTATAAATATATGAAAATCTTAAAAATAGACGGTCTAGATAATGTGTTGCAAGATGCACTATTTTTGGGACTCAAAAATATTTTGTTTTTTTTCATATTCATACATCTCGATGTCGAGATGATCGATTAGAGGGCTTTTTCAACATTAAAACAACATTCTGATAGATTTTTTAGGTGCATCTATTATTCTACATTTTAAGGTTGCAACCTTATTAAAACGTTTCTCTTATATAATATAGTATAATATAAAATAATATATTAATTATTTGCACTAACCAAAAGTATGAAATGCGATTTACATATGTAAATATTTACCAGAAAATATTTACGCACAAACCAAACATACCCTAATGAACGTAAAAAATGCTTGTTGTGAACCAAATGTACCCTAATGGAAGTAAAAGATTATTTTTTTAATTTAGATGATACTAGCTGATTTACATATTTATAAAAGATGTATATATTTATACTAGTAATATGCATATGCGATGCATATATATTAAGAGTATTGACACTATGAGACCCTCCCACACTCATGTGAGTAGGACCCCAAAGGATCACCATTAAATTTTGACAAGAATCAAAATTTACTGGTGAACCTTTGGGGTCCTACTCATATATATGTGAGAAGGTCTCATGGTATCATTACTCATATATTAAATATTAATCATCAAAATATATTCAACATTGCAAAACATTATCAATAAACATGGTCTTAGAGAGAATTCAAATAGATTTGTGACGCAAAGGTTAAACTGGGGATGCTTCACAGGTCTCGTTAAATGGTTATGATAGAAATATTATGAGAATAAGATAGTGATTGAGAAAATAAAATTATGTCTCAACTCTTTATGTTGTGATTCAATAGTAAACATTTGTTTACCGAAATGAGTGTACAGAGATGAAAGCGTTAAGGAACTTCTTATGCATGTATTTTACTTTCGTTACTTTATAACACATCCTAAACCCTTGTATTGACTTACAACTTCTGATCAAGGAATTCGAATTTAATTAAAAAAACAAAATAATTTAGTTGCCGCACATATCAAAATATGGAGAGAGAAATATAACAGAGTCATATTTTATATACATTACAACCATAGAACTACAAAAAAACTTATATTATAAAAAATTTATATTGTTGAATACATAAATATTATTTATTTTATTTAATAGATTATTTAGTACATATTTATGATAAATACACTTAGGAAAGGAGAAAAACAATCAATTAAATGCACATAAAATTTGATCAAATAATAAATTGTCCATAAAAAATAACCAAAGTATGAAATATGTCAAAGAGAAGTAATAGTAAAATAAAAAAATAAAAAGCTGAAAATAAACAATAAAGCATGTCCAATAATTGCCAATAAAATCTGCAAAACGTAATTTGCAAAAATAGAATACATACCTCTTAACTAACCACCAGATTAAAAGAGAATAATTTATTTTACTATAAAATCATTAATAATTATTCTAGATAGAAAATTGAATACAGTACAAAATTTTTAAAATTGAACAAAAATTATAAATAATGTGAAATACATGCTACCATAAAAAGATTAAGTTAGGTTTGTTTGGATATTTTGTTTCAAGTTTGCTTATTTTGTTGAATAGGAAACTTTAAGATAATATTTTGTTACCTTATGGTAAATTAGGTGGTTTAGCTTTAACATAATATTACCTCACGTATGAATCGGTTGAGTTTTATTAGGATTAGTTTTGTTGGTTAACATAAAGAGGTTGAAGTGGTGCATCACATTGGGCATTGCCATTAGAGAGTATTACATATGCTTGTAATTATAGGCCCAACATGAGACATGTGATCGCAACAAGTTTGGGTAATTATAGGCTCAAATCTACATATGCTTCTAGATGGGTGAATCATCGCCATTTATGTCAATGGTCTATGGCGTAAAGAGTTGTTTGATCCTAGTCACTCATCTACCATCAGCCATCTTGATTTACTTAATGGTACATAATGGAACTAAAGTTCAGGGCTTGCCTTATGTAATTTGACATATTTTTATTTTTCCCCCCATTTTTGGCGAGCATGTTAACCCAATCATATGGTACCACGTACACCCATGGTAATTTATTTGAAGAGAGAGACCAAGCACATAAAGAAATTGGGGCATTGCAAAGAAAATTCTTCTTTTGTGAGATTTCTCTCGCAGCTTGTGAGAGAGTATTGTTCATCTTCCTCTCTATGTAACCATGGATGGCATAAGATTATATAATTGCACGATAGAACTAGAGATAATATGAAATTGATTGAGATGTAAAGGTTATTGTTTACAAGGAACTATTTGTACAAAAAGGCCATAACTATTTCTACTCGTTACATGTCAAATTGGATGGCTTGATGTGAGTACGAAATCTGAGAAAATATTTTTGAGACCTCTATATTTTTAATTGGATGGCTTGGAGTGAGTCACGAAGTCCGATTTTATGTGACTCCCTTGTACAAAAAGTAAACGGACTCTTTATAAACAATCCATATACAATTATACATACATATAAAGAGAGATGGTGTCAAGAAAGAGCTAAAGTATGGAGATGAGGTGGATGGAGGCGAATAAGAGAGCCGAGTAA